AAATTCGAGAACAACAAAATGGTGAAGACAAAATCGTATAAATTTTAACAGATCATCGTAAAGGGAAAATTTCAATCTTCAAAATTATGATTGGATCTAGTCGCGAGAAAAATTTCTCAATATCCATAAAGACGATTGTAAAATTTTCGAAAGATGCTAAGGAGTACTTAATCTCTTTGAGAATGATTTGAAAATGATCCACCTTCGAAGGAAATGTATTCAGTAAATGCAGAAACTTCACGCTGTGAAGCGTTATGAGCGAAATGGGCGTTCAAAATTGGATTGTACATAAAATTGCATTTTTTTCTTACAATATTACAGCATTTAAAATGTCGATAATTTTTCATCGGAAAAAGGAAAACGGAAAACTTGTTGATGCTTTAAATATAAAAAAAAAAATCATCAGAGAAAGCTCCATTTAGGCTGATTTTAAAATATGAAATCTTTACTTTCACAATATTGAATTCCTTCCTTTCAAAGAAAATTTTCAAACATCAATTTGAAAGGATCGTATAAACTTCGTCTGTGATTTTGTATAGGAAACCATGAAGATCGATTGAAAAGTTAACGAAGTGTATAACGTGATTAAAATTTGCACGCAGGCAAAGGTTCTCCCGCGGAGTCAATAAATCCTCCTCAGACACTGAGCTAGCGCAGGGTAAAAGCAAAACTCGAAAGAGCAAATCGAAGGAAAAATGGCCTTTGTTGGAAGGGCTGACAGTGGACGAACTGGCTCGTTATCGAAGAAGACGTATACAGGGACAACCGAAAGATAATCTTGGACTCAATATCGAGGCTGAAAGCGAGAACCTCGTGTCCGAGTATCGTGAATCTTTTCACGTGAAGAGCGAGGAGTTCCTGAAGGTTAGTGTGATTTTTACCTATCTATACTTTTAAAATGTGAATTCAAGCGTGCATATTCACATGTACACATTTAAATAAATTTTATAGAGAAAATATTTGAAGACACATTTGTCAGTTGTTCTCTAAATATCAAACTGCACTCCTGTCTTGTATTTTTCAGTTGTTATAAATAAGATGGTAGACGCAGATAATTTCTTTTTAAAAATCCAACTTTGATACAATGGAGCAACATTTATTTGATTCCATGATAATAGAAATAAAAGCTCACTTAATGCTCCTGTCAATTTATGATTTTTTCTTTTCAATAAGTGAATTTGACTGATAGAAATTCGTTGAATTAATTGGAATAAAATAATGTTTCATCATTAACAAATAGAATTTAGACAGTATATATAGCTTTGTGATAAGGCAATACAAAATACGTGTGTGAAGAAATTTGTAGACTAGAGGTGAACAAGAGAGGAGAACCAGAAAGATATAACAAAAACTTAAACTGATATAATTACAGTTTGAGTGTTTCTCAATTCATTAAGCAATAATTTTCCGATTCATAGATGTACCCCTTACCGTAGGAAAATACCTGGTTGGAAAATAGTAAACAGAGCGAGGATCTTCAGACAAAGGACTCGACCAAAGATAAGAGAGTTTTTGACAGGAAAAATATCAAAGAACAAGAGGAGAGACATACAGAGCTTCCAACTAAAAATATGAAGGGCGTGTCTTCTTTGACGCAAGTCAATAATGATAAAACAATGGAGACTGAGGCAAATTCCAATATGATTCACGCTAGCCCTCCTAAACGACCTTCTTTGATCAGAAGGTAAACGTTTCATAAAATTAAATATTATACACGCTATATATAAATATTATATTTAACAAACTTGTACAGTGAAACTCCGTTTATATGAATTTGTCGGGTGACAAATAGTTTACACATCCCCTGGCCATTGAATTAGGACCATTAGGACAAATTCAATTAGACTGGTCTGTATATACATAATTGAACTTTATATAATTGAAGTTCATTGATTCTACTAGGAGAACAAATAAGATTCAACCAACAACAGTTTATTTAATGGGTCACTGATTGAAATTTGTTTTAAATAAACGAAGTTCTACTGTAATACATTTCAAAAATAATGAGTTGAACAAAAAGTCAAATAAACAGCTTAATCTCTGCATTATTAAAAATATACCCTGATTTCTTAAAAATCTATACTATATATAGATAAATTTCATTAAATATTTTATTGCACGTATAATGCCCATGCCATAATTATTTCAAATTCATCCTGAAAAATATGTAATTGAGATACAATGTATATTTTGTACAATATAATTGGGTGAATATAATATAACTCGTAAAATCAGATAAATACAATCAATCAATATAAAGCCAAACAATCATTTCAAATTAATTAATGTAACATTGTGTGAAAAATAATCTCTTTTATTTCTTATTTCAAGTATTATTTTACTAAAAGACTGGCGTACAGGATTAATAGTTCTACTTCTTTTAATCATTCAATTTATGGCATACTTTGCAGGGACACTACTTTAAAGCGTGACGGAGAATTATACACTGACACCGAGACCTATTCGTCATACGTTGCCTACGAAGGTCAGCATAAGCCCGAGCTAGCACGTAGGCCCACGTCTTTAAAAATGGAGGGCGATTTAGAAACGACCACTGAAAAATGCGAGAAATTCATCCAGTGGCTGAATGTTAGTCGACCGGAACTTATGCGTGTGCCTACACATTTAAAACTCGAGGGTGAATTCGAGACTACCACGGAAAATCATGAAAAATACGTGCCATTTGTAGGTGTTCGAAGGCCGGAGTTATTAAGGCAGAATACTAATTTGAAATTAAACGGAGAGGCTAATTTCGTGCCGGAATATACTGATGTGTTTAAAAGACACAACAGTAGAGGTAATTGTGCAAATTAATTACAGGGGAACCTTGCCTATCTGAACTAATCGCACGCCACTCTAATTCTAAATAAGAATTTCTCAAGTAATCAAATGATTTTATTAATATTTGTATCACAAATATTCTCATATAATGGTTACGAATATTAAACAGGAACCAAAATTATACAATAAAAATGTAATGACTGAAGGGTTAATAACAAAAATTTTTCAATTTTATCTTTTAGTTTTTAGTCAGAAACTAGATTCATAATACAATGAAACTGATATGATAAAAAATATCTAAATTTTGGGTTGCGTCGAACAAAGATTAACCAATTCCGTAAAAATTCTCTCTTTGTCATGAATTTTATAACTTGATCGTCTAATTAGATACAGATAAATCTAATTAGATAATTGGAAATACTAGAATAACTTTTATTTTTTTCAACAAACACGTAAGTACAATCAAAGATTGTTTTCGTTGCAAATCATTGAATTTTTTTTTTAATACTTATAAGGGACCATTATCAGTGAAATATATTCATATTGCTAAATTCGTGTATTATTAAACGTGTATTCACTATTATCTCTGTATTGCAGAACGTTCGCAGCCAGTAAAACCTGAGACCCATCTAAAAACTGGAAACTCCTTTTTCCAAAGTACCGAGCATGCTGATAATTTTATTGATTGCCGTATTAGAGAAGCGCATTTGAGAAACAAATCGAACAAAACTGTCGAAGAAGAAGAAGAGAGACGAAAAAGGGAACAGAAAGAGAAACAGCAGAAAGATGAGGAAATGAGAATGTTGGTTTCAAAGTTGGAAGATTTGAAGGGTCCGCCACTCGAAATTCCGGAATATAAAGACGCGTACAAGGTAAATTTAAGTTTCATTAAAAGAGTGATCAATGGAAATTGATAAAATTAATAAAATAAAATAATTAATAAGAGGGAATACAAAAATATAACACAATAAAAATAAATAATAAACCGAAATATAATAAAAATTAATAAAATGAAACTGTGAATATTTGTACATTGGGAAAAACATTGCAAGATGCAGAAATGTAAAGAATATGTTAGTATACAAAAACGTATACAACATTCATGCTTTTTTTTACTGTTTTGAGTAATATTTGATCAAATTATTTATTTCTATATGTTCGTAAAGGTGTAAATTTATATCATCCAATTCTATTAATTTAGTCTAGCAATTATTATTAGTTCTGGCTCAAAAATTCATATTTGGTTTATCTAATGATACATTGTAAAAGCGTCGAATTTTATGCCTCAGTATCGAAATTTTAACAAAAATAAGAAAAACTAATAAATTGATTTAAAACAAAACTGACGTAGGAACGCATACATACATACGAAATGTATACGACCTTAGTTTTTTTTTTTTACGTGGAGGAAATCTTCATAAGACACCTGAGTCTTTTAAAGGAAGACCCCCAGAGGTAGTGTCGAATTTTTACCGACTAAAACCTCCACGAGGTTGTCCTCCGCACGTTGGGAGAGCTCCGGGACCTTTTATACACGCAGAGCTCTCCCTAAAGGACAACGACTTTTTTTTTTTTTTTCGCTCGAACAGGGGCCTCGAACCCTGGAC